CTGGCGTAGTTCATAGTTGTCGAGCCGTTGCGTTGCATGTTGCTTACTTCTTGTTGATTGTAAGTTCCACCGGAACGGCGCTGTGCACCATTATGCAAATGTTTTGCAGTGCCAAATTTTATCGGCGTCCGACAAATTTCAATTTAAAGTTTACGCCTTGTACGTTTTACGCCCAACTTGTGTGCAAATGTAAAGCTTTCACAATGGGCGTTAATCTTATCTACAACATGCGCATCAAATAAAATCAACTCTAGTTTAAAATCCTCGTTTAGCTTAATTTTTATTTACACTGATTTTTGATTGATGTAAATTTGTACAGATTAATGAAGTGTATGATTATATGCAAAGTTGACGACTTGGCAACTGTTAATTCTGATGTAATCTTTGTTTGTATTTCCAAATGAGTTTTGTTATATAAATTGATTTGCGTTAAGAATATCAGCGATCTTCCCGCCGATATTTTCGATATAGAACGACGCAAGAAAGTGAGGAAACTTTTCCATTGTTAAATCAAAGTTTTGCTCCTCCCAAGTCTTCGACTTCGACGGCTTTAGTGCTGGAAATTTTCAGCCGATGAAACCGCATCGAACTCAACGCAAGCCCCCCAACAGAATCTAAAAAGTATAATACATGAAAAGACGAAAAGTAAGTTTCGCAATCAATTTTAATGATCAACTCACTTCGCCTGGCTGAAACCGCGTGAGATAGTCTTGGAAGTTATGAAGCATCAATTTTGATTTAGAAACTTTCGGGCCCACCTATAGACGAATTCATTTTTTTGTGAATTAATTATTCGAAAAGTTATATTTCTAGCTGTGGATATCAGAATTAAGTGATTTATATGCTGGCAAGTCAAGAGGTTATTTTTTCCCGTGTTGAGTTTTTAAGCTTTTGCGCGGCTTGGCTTAAATAAATAACGCGCAAAGAAAACTTTTCTTTACATTGCGCCGGGAATTAAGCGCGGATGAATAAGTAAGAAAGTGTATGTCAAGGTCGCAGCGGTCGTAAGAGTGGCAAAAGGTTCTCAAGTCGGGCGCTTTTTTCGTCGTCGTCAACAGGACTTAATGATTTGGCAAGGACGTCGCTTGCCCAAAAAGGACTTGTGCTTGTACATTTTATATAAGCAAATAAATGTTGCTCATTAATGCGTGTACTTGCTGCCTCTCGTAAATGAAGGCTGAATTATTTATATCATGGAGTTACAACCGACAAAGCTCTCATCAACATTTTTGGGATGTGTATTAGAATAAATAACTGTCAATTTAGTATTATGATGTTTGGTCACGCGTAAGAAAATATTTATATTTAAAGAAAACGTTTATAATTAATTTTTGAACACTCTGTACGTGTAATGCTCAAATTAAAACCGTTACGGTGCAAAGTTATAATCCTACAGGACATACCGAGATACAAAAAACCGCTCTCTAAGCAAAAAATAAAACGAAAAATCCGAATGCAAATGAAAAAATGAAAAAAATAATATGAAATTATTGCAATTGAGATTCCAGCCAACAAATGGAAAACACCACGCACCGAAAAAAGGGGAAAATGAACCCGGCATGTTCGGAAGCATTCGCGTCGCATAACGAAGGCGGCCGGAAGAGTTGCAACAACGTCCACGGTGCGCTCATCCTGGTCGAATTAAACTCCCCGCCGGGGTGCTCGTTACACGCTCGTTTTGCCAATGGACATGTTATGCATGTGCCCGGTGTGACTGACGATGAGCCGCCTCTTCCTTTTTTCATCATCACTCGCGTCTCGTTCATCTTTAATGCGATTTCGGTGGCATGACCATACGCGCTCGATCCGCAGACCGAGAGGACGAGACCTCTAATACTTTTTATTGAGCTAATTGGGATTAATGCGGAATATTCACGTATTCTGTTTGCAAGGTTTTTCAGCTTTGCTTTGCGCTGGCTTTCGCCATATCCTTCAAAGGAACGCCGACGAGAGGGTTTCCGGTCACGGTAACAAATAGAGTGGATGAATTACACAAACATTTGGATTACATAAAACATGCTTTTTTAAACAAGCCTATTAACTTTTAATCGTGCTTTATTTTAAATCCAGAAAATAATCTACAAGATACTGTTAGTTACTGTAAAAGTAACGCGAAGATTTTATTTGGTTTGTTTGGTTGGCTTGAAAACTACTCCCGATAATGATAAAGTTTCCTCATGAAATAGAAAGAAATACTACCGATGCAAGTGCTAGATTATTTTTATCAGCGTGTGGAGAAGCAGCAAAACATCGTACACCTCACTGGCAAGCACAAACAAAACGCGAAAAGCTCACAAGGAAACCTTTTCTTGTTTCACTCAGGACATGATCATTGCGGGACGCATTGTTTAAATCCACTTTTTTGCTATTTTTATTCTTTGTCTTTGTGGAAGTCGAGAAAAACTAAAAACAATAACTTCCAACTCTCAATGCTTGCGATGTGCTTCATTGAAGCAAAAGAGTTTTACCACCGCAAGCAAACCCGGGACGCGGACGTGTCGTGTCGTTCCAATTCTGTGACTAATCCAATCCGACTTGGGTGCATTCGTTTCCTTCATCCTCCATTCGGTACGTATTCAGATGGCCTGGCCCCGCACGAGTTGAAGCCAAAACTTTCGGCATGCATTCGACATAACATTCGAATCGTATCATCATCAAGGATAATAATGTCGGAGTCGAAGTGAGTGGAAAGTGGGCGTCTTATTGGATTTCTTATTGAAATTTTCTATTTTCCATTTCTGCCACCCCACGTGCTCTGTGTTCGTCTGTGTTCTTTTTTTCTGCATTCCTTCTCGTGCGGCTGCACATCTCATCTTGTTTTGCTCACGCTTACAGCTCGTGGAATACGAAAGGAGGCAAACTTTCTCATTGATTTTCAAAAGGAATACACGCGAAATTATCCAAACTTTTTGCATTATCTACACATACCTAAAGCCGTTACCATGAAACGCATAAAGATATCCGTTGAATATTATTTTCGTATTCTCTTTCCCGGCTTACAGTTTGCGCGCCTTTGTTTCACAATGCGAAAATGCGAAAACAAAGATGTAGAAATGATGAGAATAAATGAAGTCCGCAAAGAAAGGAGTGTTATTTGGAATATTCAACAACTGGAAGATAATGGTGGTAAAGTTTTATATTGGTGATGCTTTTTTTCCGCGCTGGAATGTCGGAATGTTCGATTATGACTTCAGACATTGGGAATATGAATTTAATATTTTCTTAAACTTTTTTTTGTCTTACACAATAAGCGCATTCTACTCAAGTGTGTGCGATACTTATGTTGGTAGGCTATTCGTTTACCTGTGACATTACCAGCCCAGCAATATTTTATGACCAGAGGAACATTTCGAATCGATACGCGCACGCCGCCCGCATGAATATATTATGAATTATCCTCTTTAGAGTGTAACTAAGTATGATAAATAGATTTGATGTGACATTCGAACGGCATCGGCGCGACACGCGCAAAGATATAAATCATCCGGGCGCGCGCGCTCCTTTCGCAAGCAATGACTGCGCCCATTTTTGCCATTTTCAGGACGGCGCTTATTCAGTCGCCCGCGAGGTAAACCATTGTTGATGTGTTGTGTATCGCTTTATAAAGTGCAAACATTATTTATCTACATAAGTACAAGTGTCTACAAGAAAATGTCTATTTCTTGTTCAAATCTGCATAGCTTCAGCTATTATTTCCGAGGAAAAACATTTTTATATGTTTAGGTATAGCACAATTGATAAACTGCATTGAGTTTGCAATATTTCGACTGCATAGAAGTAGGTAAACATGAGCGCACTCGAGATGCATAAAGTTTTCCAATCTATCGACAAGAAATCTGTGAATAGATGTACTTTTTGAATAGACGAAGGTAATTCTTCGGCTTCGACAGTTATATTCTGCTTTAACAACCAAATAAAAGTTTAATATTTTCTATCAAGCTAAAAATATTACCTTGGTACGTTATTTTCTGCAAGTTCTTATTTTTAAAGATTTTCTATTATGTTTTTACATTTATATATAAAAAGGAAAAAAATAGTTACAACGTAATCTATTTCAACATCCTGTATGGGTGTTTAGCACGAAAATTATTGTGCGCCAGCACGGCCGACGGTTAAGACGTTGCAATTATTATGCAGCCCGCAAATTTTCCCCAACAACTAACTGAAACTCCCTTTCCTTGACGCGCGCTCACTCTGCGCTAAACTATTCGCCTTGCTTTGCGCCGTCTCGTCGTCCACGTAATAATATAAATTTCTCGACGGGATTATAAATTCGCCCACATACACACAGTTGAGACGCCCGTGAGTCCTGGGCGTCCCTAATTCGTCCTAAATTAAACGCCGACGAGGCGCTGCCGATTCCGCCGCAGTCGCCGCTGCCGCCACCACCGCCCGAGAGCGAATTAAGATGACAATAGTAATAATCGTCGCTCTCCGGAGATTTGCGGCACGACCGCGTGTGCGACGGCGACCGTCCGCCAAATTTCTCTTTTCTCCGCTGACGCGCCAAACCGGCCCCGACACGGCATTCAATTAGCATAACAAGGCCTACACGCCGCCCAGCAGTGTGTAAGCAAGGATTATTATAACCATACACCTAATTCAGCGACGTGTACACATCGTCACCTCGACATATGCTGTGCACGTGCGTGCCCACCACGAGTTTATGCATATCCTGACCGACCGCCGGCGCAAACTTATTCGTCATACTTACAATATGTGTGCGAGCGTCCCGGAAAGTTGTTCAAATGTGCAAAATGGTGAGGAAAAACGGCGCAAACAAATGACTGTTTACACTTGTGCTGTCACAACGGGGCAAAAACTAGGCAACCCAGACAACAACCAACCGACATTTTAGGAGGTTAGAATTAGCAATTGGGTGTTGGCAGGCGAGCAAAAGAACTTAACATGAACTTTTGACCTATATTCTCTCCACTTTAATATAATATCTATTAAATTACAACAAGTACTAACGAGTTGTTGCTTTTCTGTTTGTTTCAGGTAGGAAATCGACATTAAATCAGCGATTAAATTCTTCCAATGGTGTAAGTGCAAACCCACTTATCACGTTTTATCACGCCGTGCATTTTTAATGACGGACTTAATTTACAGCGCTCTACATATTTTCGTAATTAAAGTATACATGCGCTGCGTAGTTTTTTGTGTTTGTAGCTACAAAGTGCACATGCACTACAAAGGGTGGTGGGCCATCGTCAACAGCAATGTAAACAATAATTTCCACGTAATTAATTGCGTTCAGTCATCAAATCGCCGGCGTATAAATCATATCGCATGCGTATTGCTGCGCTGGGCAAAATGCGCGAAGATAAATAATTCAAACTTGCCCATAATGAACGAGGGGCCTTCCAGATTACTATCTTATTCTTACAGCAGCGTAAAATATTATGATTCAAATATAATTTAAGGTTTCGAAAGAAAAAAAATATTATCATAACATGCAATTTGTGGATCAACATTATTTTTTAATTAGAGAAAGTTTCGCTTTTTTTCTTTTTGATAGTTAGCTATATCTGAGATTTCTGATTTTAATTCCGAAATCGGATTTTTGCCTGTGTGCGTTTTGTGTCATTACTGAAATGACTGCAAAATGTAAAAATACGAAATCCATCAGCAAACTATTGATAATTACAGCGGATTATGCTGCGAATGACAGTTCGCAGGGCTGGCGCAGGTCGCGCGCGCTCGTCAGCTCATTGTTTTCGTCCGTAGGCTTTGTCATCGATATTTACGCGCCCGGCGAACAGGACGTCCAGACATCAGTCATTGTATACTCGAATATGAACTCGTCGGGGCGAATTGTACGGGCGGGACGACGGGACTGAAAATCCCGCCGCCGAACACACGCAGAACAAACCGAACCCTTTTTTCCTGCCCTTTTGTTCGCAGGGCGCTCGTGTACGACTGCGTTTTTCGCAAATGTCAATACCATTGCAAATATCAGCGATGAGCGATCGACGGCTTCCATAACCTCGGCGCCGAGTAAACATCGGAAAAATAGCGCGCGCGATGCACATTTACCGAGCGGAAACAAAACAATCGAGTATTTCTGAGAGTGCAAACAAATACAACAATGTTTGTTTACGCATCACCTAGTATCCCCGCAGCTAATCCGACTGACACTGTTTTAAAAATTAACTTAAAAATAAAATTCATTCTGTATGAGGGTTAAATGTAATTATATCTCTGCTTTCAAGCGAATTATCTACGATAGAAGTCCATTTGTGTGCGGTTGTGTTTCCGACGAGTCAAAACTTAATCCCCCAATGACGCGTGCTATTCCATTTCATCTTTGACTGCATCCGGGTGCTGTGACCGTATCGCCGCATGCGAACATCAATAAATTGTTTACAATGTCTTCGGATGCAATTCATGCCATGTCGAGCGGGATGAACATTCGAACATTAGAACTACTACTCTGCGCCCACCCGCGTCCCAGCGCATAACGCAGTTATTGCTTACATGCGCGCCGCGTTCGGTAATTACCACTTTATGGACTTTGCTGCGCCCTCGTCTCGCCTAGCCACCCCATCCGCGTCTGTATCGCCGTATATCCATCAACGGGTGCAACTAGTGCTAGCAAGTGCTGGCGCTTGCGGTTCCTCAATGACAAGACGTGCTCCTCGGTAACTCGCGGTAACTACTCGTGTAAGCACACGAGCAGCGTAACCCGCTAAGTAGTAGCCCCGACTCTGGACCACGAACAGGTTCCAGGAACTGGAAGTGCCATAAGCGATTTCTAGTTTTGTACATGGTGAGCACTTGCGAGTTGGGAGTTGCTCCACTTGAATCTTCACATTCTACTACCACCTGCCAGTTTGCCATTTAGTACCTCTAGCTAGCTATTACCTTGGTATGTTTACTATTTGCATCAGTGGGTGATGGGAGGCTGCGAGCTGAGAGAACTGGAAGCAATGCGACTAGTTAATTGGATCAAGTGCAAATACGAAAAGATATTGTATCAGGGAAATGTTCGATTGTGACCGCGCGTTGTAGTAGTCATACTTAGTTGAGGCTAGTGCTGTTACCGTCATGTTGTTTGTTTGGTGAGCGTAGGAGGTATCTCCGCGGATGGAAAGCAAACGCAACTCTGCATTCGCATCCGAAATGGGTTTCTCCCCGACGTAAATAAATGCATTGACCAGAAATGATATGTTCGAAGCGAGACTCAGAACGAAAACAAATACACCCTGTTTCGATATCAATGTTTGTGGTTCGTACAACCAATGGCATTACTTAGAATGTTTAATTGTTATGAATCGCCGCGAGGGTTACTACGCTGAATGATTAAATCTCTATTTGCTTAGGATTTATGTGCAACAACAAATTCCATACTTCAAAACTACAAATCAAACATTAACACTAACTCACAATTAGTTATTTTAATGCCAAGGCAGTGAATTAAGACTAAAAGTGTATGATATAAATATTAAACTGTCGCAGGTGATATTTGAATGACATTTTTGTCGTGGGGAATAATAATTCTTGTAAAATTGATATGCAATGCGATATTTGCACACTCGGTGCTCATAGACTCGGCTGTCATTCACGACATTAAATTAACGATTTTCTATCAATCATAATTTCAGCGCGCAAAACTTTCGGCCGCCGTTTACTGCAGCGTCAAATATCGCTCGACCTATATATATATATATATATAATGTTCTTGGCTCCTATGTGGAGCATAGAGCCTCACTAAGCGCCCTCCAACGGACTCTGTTTCGGGCAACCGCCTTTGCTTCGTTCCAGCCCATATTTTGGTTTCGGGCTCCTCTATTGTGGATCTTCGCCAGGTATTGGCCGGTCTACCAACCCTTCTCTTCCCCTGTGGGTTCCATTCTAGCGCATTTCTGGCGATATCTCCGGCGTCTCTTCTCAAGATGTGCCCAATCCACCCCATTTTCTCTTGCGTATTTGATTTATAATGGGAGTTTCATCACATCGACGGTGCAACTCATCGTTGGAGATTGTCATTGGCCAGAATATGCGCAAGATCATTCTCAAGCACTTGTTTATGAAGGTTTGGAGTTTGTGTGTGCTTGAGCTCGTTGACCTCCATGTTTCGCATCCATATAAAAGGGTGGATTTTACATTTGTGCGGAATATGCGCAGTTTTGTTCTTAGTGTATAGACGCTTGACTTCCATACTGTGCTCAGCATTCTGAAGGATTGCTGGGCTTTCTTTATTCTGTTGTTTATATCTGCGTCGGTCCCCCCTTTTATGTCAATTATACTTCCTAGATATAGGAATTCCTTGACCTCTTCTATTTCCGTATTATCTATTTGGAGTTTTAAGGTGTTGTTTGTATTTATACGCATTTCTTTTGTTTTGGCAATATTTATTCTTAGGCCAATTTTACTTGCCTCCTTGCTAATGTTGTTAGCTGTCGGCTCACGCCTTCGAACGTATGTGACATCAGGCAGATGTCGTCGGCGTAATCCAGGTCGCTGAGGTGCGAGGTTAGTGTCCAGCGCAACCCATCCCTGTTCTGGTCTACCTTTGCTAGTATGTAGTCTAAGGCGATGTTAAATAGTAATGGGGATATGACACATCCTTGTTTTACTCCTCTGTGTATCGTAAAACTTTCGCTTTTTCACCGTTGTGTAACACACTGCAGTTTGCATCAGTGTAGAGTTCTTGCAGGATGCTTATTATCTTTGTTGGTACACCTCGCGACTTAAGGATCCTCCATAAAGCGTCGTGGTTCAGGCTGTCGAATGCTTTCTCAAAGTCGATGAAGGCGATGAATAGTGGTGATCGCCATTCTACTGATTGCTCGATAATTATACGAAGGGTATTGATATGATCGATGCATGAGCGATTCGGCCGAAAACCTGCTTGGTTCGGGCGCAGGGTGTTTTCTATAGTTTCCGCTAATCTTGTTTGGACGATTTTCGCGATAATCTTATTAATTGTGTTTAATAGCGTTATGCCACGCCAGTTGTTACACTCGGTCAAGTTACCTTTTTTGGGAAGCTTGATGATTAGCCCTTCTTTCCACTTGGTCGGAATCTTGTTGTTGTTCCATGCTTCCTTAATACAGTGGTATAGTTCATTTGCCATCCATGTGGCGTTTACTTTTAGTAGTTCCGCTGGAACGTTATCAGCTCCTGCTGCTTTGTTGTTCTTAAGCGTCTTTATAGCTGCAGTTATCTCCGCGACTGAAGGCGGGTTCGAGTCAATGTTCAGTTGTCTACCTGGGTTATTCTCTGGCTCCCAGTTAATTGTTTCGTTTGCGCTGAGCATGTCGGAGAAATGTTCCCTCCATCTTTCGAGCTGCTTGTCTGACTCAACTAACAGGCGGCCGTTTTTTGACTTAATGAAGTGTGTGCGTGTAGAGTACTTATTGGCCAGTTTCTTTGTGAGGTTGTAAAGTTCTCTCGAGTTGTTGTTGAGCATTGCTTCTTCTGCTTGTCTGCAAATATCATCTATCCACCTGCGTTTGTCTCTTCTGGCTTCCCTTTTGACCTTTTGGCAAAGGCCTGTGTACTCTACCTGTGCCGCTGCCCTATATTCTTGCGAAAGATTTTGGAGTAGCAGGTGTTTTTTCCTCTTTCGGTCTTCTATCAGCAACCACGTGTTTTCGCTGATCCATTCTTTCCTTTGCCTGCTTTTCACTCCAATTGTTGTTTTGGCGACTTCAATGATGTTGTCGGCCATATTTTCCCATTTTGTGCTGATTTTTGGTTTATTGTCTCTTGCATTTTTTCCTTGAAGGATTTTGCTATTTGTGGAATGCGTAGCTTCTCTATATTTAGTTTTATTCGTTTCATATCGGCTGGTTGCTTGGGTACTGCTAGTTTTATTCTCAATGTGCCAACTATTAGGTGGTGGTCACTGGCTACATCAGCACCTCTCTTGTTCCTCACATCGAGTAATGACGATCTCCATTTCCTAGAGATTGTGATATGATCGATTTGGTTGTGGGTTTTTGTCTGGCGAGACCCACGTTGTCTTGTGAATCTGTTTGTGGGGAACAGCGTACCCCTATTACCAGGTTCGCGTTGGAGCAGAACTGTGTGAAGT